CCAGCTGCGGCCCAAATTTTCACTGACCTAAAAGGCCGTCGCATACGTCGCAGGGTTGGCCCGGCATCTACTGCTTACTTCAAGAACTACGAGCCTAACGGTCCACAGGTCGAGTAAAACTGCCTCGTCCAACTCCTTGACCGGTTTTCTGTACGGCGCGATACTTCTGCGGGGCTGAAAAGTGTTGGGACGTTTCTCGAAGAGTGCATTAACCGCGGGCTTATGCAGAACCGGAAGGCCGAAAACCTGTTCTTCCTTCAACAAGTTGCCGGCAGTCGTCCAGACCGAGAAACTGAACGGATAGCCCAACGCGTTATGGGCCAAAAGGGATTAGAAAAAGAAGACTGGGCATTTGATGAATTGATGGAGTTTCTGATTCCTGGTGGGAAAAAGCTACAAGAAGCGTGGGAAGCCCAGGTTATGGATGATGAAGAGGAAATGGAAGCTGCTGTCAATTCAAGTTTTCCGAAGTAAGAACTCACAATTCAATGTGTTCCTTGCTGTATTAATATGTATATGTCCTGCGCAAATGCTAACAAGCTGTTCCTTTCACAGAATGACCTTTGCCGAATAAGCGGAAACATTCACAGAGTGCCAAAAGCGTGCATTCGGTTTTATACGGGTACGCCTAGACCGCAAGCAGTCTTTTCCAGCTTTAATTGCGGCTGCTGCAGGATGCGGGAAGTCCCACGTCATTAAGGCCGTCGCAGCGTATTGCCGTGAGAACGAGATCTGCATTGTTCGTTTGGGCACAACCGGTCAGTTCAATCCTGAGAATGTGACTGCGGTCCGCTCTAACACTCAGCTTTTTACAGGCAATGCAGCGAACCAAATTGGCGGTGTAACCATCCATTCGTTTTTCAACTTGTCCGTTAATTTCCGTGGAAAAGCGTGGCAGAATCTGCCGGAGAGGAAGAGTAAAACCGAGTCTCGGATCAAGTCTGCCGAAATCATTGTGATTGACGAAGCATCGATGCTGGAGTACGATATTTTGCATTGTATCCAGTGGGTACTTCAGTACGTTCACCGCGACCCGAAGACTGGTGCAATGGTCCCATGGGGTGACGTTACCGTTCTACTCGTCGGTGACCCTGGACAACTGCCGGCAATCAGTCGCCCAATCTGGGACAAAGAGTACGTTACCTTTTGTACTATACAATAATGTACCATCTACAACAGTTTCTTTTGCTTAGCCAAATCGGCAATGGTCAGTGGGACGTGATGATAATGGGATAACATACAAAAACAGCTGCAAATTTCGGAGTTAAATACTTGATAAATTTTGGACAAACCATCGCTTGTTGTTTTGCAAAAAAAGTGGTGTCATCGAGCAAAAATTGGTGTCGTGATGCAATATGATGATGTTGGCAAAATCCGTAGCCCGACATCGTCGAACTCTGATAACAGCGTAGTTGTGAGCCTGTGACTACATCCGCAATTGGAAATGGCTTGCTGTTTCTGCTCTAATTTACCGCCTGCACCTGATAAGTGATCCCCAGAAAACATCAACCAGAAGACAGGTGAAACGCGAGATCACCTAATATCTCCGAATTCCGACAACGGCCCAGAACAGAGATCAAATTAGTACACTTAGTATCACCAATGGGAACAACCTTCAGGCGACCTTGTAGATGTGTACGTTCTTGATTGCTGCAATTCGTCGATTCGTCAAATGGAGAACACATGATTGTGGCCTGCACTGCTGCATACGAGGCCTGCGCGATGTGGAGTACCTGGATCCATAATGTGATGTGGCGATCCGTAATGTAATATGACTATCCATCCTTTTGGCCGCCCCGCAGTTCCGTAAGTGGTTTCCATGAGTCATCGGAACCTGCAAAAACAATTTTAAACTGATTTTCATCAATGAATAAATTTACCAGTTTTGTGCAGGTTTACCGGGATCGCAGAAATGATTGTACAAGCTGGCGTAAGCGATATTAGCAACCCCGTTTTTTTTTGTGAAAATAAAAACGTAAGATGAGAGGAGTAAAACAAGAAGCAATTTACCTCGATGGTCCGCTTAGCGAATCACATTTCCTCGTGCGTGTTTTGCGCTCCAAATATCAGGATCAAGGTCCAATTGCGGCAATTCCAGCATAGGAGTGCCGTTATACAGACCGAGGGACCAGTTAGCTGAAAAGATATAAATGAGTTAACTCCTTGCGACAACTTTGCGATATAGAGGAGTTAACTTCATGCGACAACTTTATGCGGGCTTAGGTGGCCAAACCTGGCACGGATCTTTTTGTCGGTCTCCTGAGTGACTGCCAGATGGGGATTCGCAATCTACAGGTCCTTAATTTACTGAGAGTAGCCGGAATCTTCAAAAAATTCCACACTGCCGCCGGACGTAATAAACGCGGCCGTTCAGAGTGGCATATTTCGCGGTGTTAGCGGCAAACAATTTTGTCCATGACATTCCGGCTGGCGGCCTACGTGTCTTGTCCGTCGAATGGACTTCGGGAATGGACTTGTGAACTCGTATGACTTTTGATTGGGTGAAATGAACCTGGCATCCCTTGACATAATTCTGAAACTCCGGGCTTTCATGAAATTCTGATGTCTTTTATATCTCGTCTTTATTGGTGTCAGTCTGTACAAGCATAAGAATACTTGTTTATTTTACCGGTTACAAAGCTGCAGGTACTGCACGTCATGCAATCATTTGTTCCCGTGATGCTTTCAACTCTTTCGGGGAGAGTGGTGGGCGGGTTAACTGCCGTGGTGGCGCGTCTGTCGGTACTCCTTTCGCTGCTTGCATATCATCCACCATCATGAGTTCTTCCCCTGCACCAAGTGTAAGAGTTCCAAAACCCATGCCACCGCTGGCAGCCTGTATGGGAACACGATGTGGCAGCTCGCCCATTATGATACACGTACTGTATATGCACTCGCACACCGCTTGGCGCTCAAGTTTATTCTCAACTCAGCCAGATCGTACGCCAATGGGACGAACGCTCGCCCTTATATACACACCGGGCTGTGCAACTATTGCATCAGCCATCCAGATCTCTATGGATAGATTTTGAACATGCATGCAGGCGGATCGATATATGCGTCACAGACCATACGTAACATAACGGCATACAACATACCCTGTATGTGGAATACATCCTACAACGACAACCACAGCGTGGAAAGGTCAGAAGCTACCGGCGCCGAAGCGCAGATCGAATTACGGATTCCCCATTGTTTGCCGGCAGAAACGCTTGTGCGGGTGCAGAACCATTGGCAGAGTACGCCCTGCTCAGGCAAGACGTCAGGCGATATGAATACGGTCTTCAAGAAGGAATCGACGCGCGTTACTAGTAATGTTTAGCGGTCAAAACTTAAAAAGCCCCGACGGACTTACAAAATCCGATCATTGGTCAGCATACGACAGAACGATAGCCATCACAAGACAGCTCCAGGGCATTTATAAAATTCTTGTGGAGGCTATTTTTGAACATTCTAAAACGGATTATCAACCTGTCGGGTTAACGTCTTACGAGGGTTTGGTTCTTACCCTGTCACTGGCCATCGTGGAGGTTCATTGGGGCTCTGCCTTGCGGGCCCGTTTCACGGTTCTACTGGAGGAGAGTAATGTTTAGAGAATTCGCTCCGTTACCCATTCGGGGATTTGAGATACACGAATAAACGCTGGGTTTTACTTTTTAGCACTCGTACTTGGTTTTATTTAGCAAATGTCCATTGATTTGATGCAAAGGTTTCAGAAAATAGAAGACTTTGGCAAACTCCGGAAGTAATTCAGTTTTGAATGCATCCTACATTTTGGCGCTATACAGGCTGCAGTTATTTCTGTTCCCCTCAGAGAAGATCTCGTGATAGTTTTTGATGGGTTAATCAAACATGAGGTTGTGTTTTTCGGGAACACGGTCATAAATCCGCCTCGCCATTGTCAGCACCTCATATCTGCTTTCAGGAAGAAGTTCGGGTTGTTTTCTGCCCAGACATAGGCCAGAATGCCGTCAATTTCGTTCGGCTTGCAGTAACAGTACAGCTCCATGTCACCTTCTTGAATTCCATTAAGGAGGCGACCTGGTAGCACTGAAAACCGCCCGGAAGGCTAGCCAGCGCTCGTTTTGGCTCACGAAATGTTCCTGAAGAAGCACGCCAGTGTCCAATTAACCGACCTTTCGCTTTCCTTGTCGCCATACCTTTTGTCACAGGTCTTCCTAATGTCTTCCTTATGATTTGGCGGCCGACCTCTGAGAATGGCCGGCTTTGGGTCGATCTGGTTAAACGAAAGCGAGCCGAAAAATAAAATTTGTCGGTCATTAATTCCGGTGCCGCCTGCCGCTTCTTCCATTCTGGAGTAGTTCAGATGAATAATAATGCTTTGTGCGAAGCAATTCCGGGTTTTCGTTTGGTGTGGGATGGCGGGAGAAGCCAAGCCCGGCCAACTTTTCCACCACGGCACAGTATATCGCTGCCAGGTGAAGCGGCTTAACTACGTTGTCGTGCCTGAAATCCGTATCCGGATCAGGGTTATTCATCGTTTTTTTGTCACAGGGACACCGGACGTGCGGAAATTTTTTATGAGCATTACTTTCGGCTACCGGTCCGGGCCAAGAAAATTCACGGCAATAGCAAAATTAGAGCTAATTCGGCCGCAGACATGCGCGGCGCCCAAGGCAGGTAAGTACATTGTCTTACGGGCTTCTGTATAGCGAAATTCGCCTTCGGTGCAGACCTAAAAAAAGGAGAAAGAAAACTGCTTTAGGGAAGCTGCTGATGGCCTCAAAACGACTTTGACCCTCCAAATCAACTCCCAAATCCCTCATTATGTCTTTCAATATCTTCTGATTATCCTTTACAGGCTCCGGTGGGGCGACAACTTTAAGAAATCCCATACAGTTGCCCACTAAAAGTCGACCGTGCTTGAGTTTCGCCATTACGATGTACCGTCTGGCGCCGAGCTCTAAGAATAAGAAGGAGAGCTTAAAGGCTTCCTGGATGCTCGTGATGGGTAGAAAGGTTCTGTGAACAGTAGAAGTATGTTACTACATGTGCGCCTCATTTTGAATAAGCCGGAATTCTACCTGCGTTCATACGCCAATCTTCCAGTGGATACTTTTAAAGCATACATTCGCAATCCGCGGCTGTACGTCAAACGCTTTGTTCCTAATCCGGCATATTTGTCTGCGCTTACTGCCCAATTATCGACAAAGACTGTGAAATACCCTATTGAGCGAGTGTGTATGCGTGTTAATGATATTGGTATGATTCAGAGCACAGTGCTGGCTAATTTACATATTGGAGCAGTACCCAAATGTGTTTTTGTGAAATTTGTAAAAAGCTCGAGTTTTCACGGGCTGCGCCGAGGTAATCCGTTTAACTTTGAACATTTCAATCTCAACCATATAAGTGTCGAAGTCGACGGACAGTCGTATCCCGCACAAGCCTACCGACCAAATTTCGCCACGGGTGATTATTTGCAATCATATGACGGTCTTTTGGAGACGCTTGGCCGCTTGCACGCACCGGACGGGGCGCTGCCTTTCGACCGTAAAGCATTTGCGGAAGGATTTGCTATTTGGGGATTCGATCTGACACCTTCACGGGCAGGCCGGGGACCGATGAGCACCGTACGCCAAGGAAATCTATCAATCCGCCTGCAGTTCGCCGCCCAATTAACTGAACCAATTATGGCCATTACGATGATGGTGTGGGATAATATAATTGAAGTCAACTCACATCGTCAGCTCATTGCGGATTTTACGGCTTAAAAACGTAACGTAAGCGTTTGACAGCCTAAAACATTGTCGTGTTGTTGCCTGAGCGGTAAGCTTCAGGGTCGCAAGTGGGGGGTTGGCGCGCCGTCGGCCCCTTTTGACGCTGAAGAGAATCGTGACGGATGTGGTAAACAATGGGCGACCGGAGCGCTTCGCGCTCTCGGTCGCCCGTTGTTTACAGGACAAAGTTTAAAAAGAAAATTCAAATTTTATTTTGAATGCAGATCGGCACTACAATGGACACTGCTGAGATTGATCACGTGCTACGTTCAAATACCGTGACGAGAGACGCTTTTATTGGTGTATTCGCTGCGGATATGCTACCATCGTCGCTGCCAGCCAAGCTACCATGGGCATGCGTTGTCAATACTGACGAAGCTGCGAAACCTGGCTCGCATTGGCTGGCGTTCTACCAGGCTATACCAGGACAGCTGGAATATTTTGACTCTTACGGTCATGAACCGCATTATTACGGCCACTACATTGAAACTTTTTGCAAGAACGCGGGCATGATTATTTCACAAGCGCATCGTTTACAAATGGAGTGGAGTACCGTATGCAGACAGTATTGCTGCTTTTTTATTCTAAAACGATGCTCCGGCGAGTCATTTACTTCTCTTATTCATTTATTTACCAATAGCAAAGCTTCGAATGATCGAATGGTTTGTGCTTATGTTAATTATTATTTTAATTTAAAGACTGTTGTCCGTGATAACTCTTTGCTTATTCAGTCTGTTTTCCGCCAGATAACGCAATAAAGTCACGTCATCAACGCCAGATTTTTCACGTTCTGTTTGTATGTGATTAAAAATAATTTGTTGTGCACCAAAATATTTTGCGGTCCAGCGTGACGTTGCGCTGCATCCGTTTTGATGCACATAAAATACCCCAGTCAGTGGACAATTTTCAGATGCAACAGCTTTTTCATCTCATTACGCCAGCGGAAATTAACGATTTCTAAAGCATTAGGTCCAAAAATGGTTTACCATATTGTTGTAGACATTAAGTGGTATGCGCTTAACGGGAAGCCAATTATTACGTCACTTGCAATAAGCTCGGTCGAATTTTATTGCCTTTATTATACCACATTTGCGTTAGCGCCAAGCAATTACATTGTGAATAAATATGGCGTTTGTTCTTCGGATATTGATGCTGTGTTCGATAAAGCTTTCTCAGAGTTAGAACACCAAATCGAACGAGCGTTTAAAAATTATCTTCGCTACGTTGACGATCCTGCCGATGTCGTTTTCTATGCAAAAGGGGGGCAGAAGTGTCTTATTCTTCAAAAGCTGATTAAATCTGATGTCATTAATCTTGATACACTGGGCTGTCCGCGTTTTGCCGATCTAAGCAAGGACAAGTGTTACAGTCCTAATAAAGCCTGCTTACTCTAACTGGATGCTGGACCACCATTTCAAAAGTCGTACGAAATGCCTGCTTTGCCGTATGCCGATTCCAGAAGTAAAAGTTCACGTTCGACCGCAACGACGCTGCCGCAACTCAAGATCAGATCAGAATGCTTACTGGGGTATGCAATGAAATGTTTCCGCGCTTTTAAAAAAAAAAATTTTAACGAGCTCTATGTTATTGCAGATGACCGAGGTAACAGACGTTGCATCCGCTGTGGTGCTGTATTTCCCACCGATACCGATTGCAGTGAAGAAAGTACTCACGCGGATATTAGCATGCCAAGAATTTCTAGTGCATGAGTCAGTGTAACCTGCCTAACTAACCGTACCCGTTACAAAATGCTGTACTGGAATTTTGTTCTCGTCCAAATCAGTTATATAAAGTGGCATCTTTGTCGCTAGCAACTTTCTTTGGCCATATTTTGCTTTCATCATGGCGCAAACCCCTGACTTATCCGCAGAATTGTTTGACCCCGGCACCACTGCTGAAACTAACTTTGCTGATAGTGCTCTTTTCAATCATAATTATGCGCTTCTCGATCACAATTATTTTATACCTCAGGCTCCGATCGATGTGCCAGTACAGAACCTAGAAGAACTTGATCCGGATTTGTATGATATTAAAGATTATTATGAGTTGGAAAACACGGGGGCTAAATATTCACAAAAATTTTCAGTGTCGTTTGAAACCTATAAATGTGTGATACACGGTCTGGATAATTTGTCATTTAAATACGCGATTAAAACCATAACTCTTTTATTGAAAGACATTCTGGACACCGTGCTTTCGGCAATTCCAGCCCACAATTTGGTTAGAATTCGCTTGTATCAAAACGCACTGCAATACCCAATTTGGATGCCACCTGTCCAACGTGTTTAGCTGAGTGTTGAAAGATGGATGACAACGATCCGGAGAATCTTGAATTCAAATCAGGCGTTTTTATTGGATGAATCTTTTGAATTGTCTGTGCAGCATACGGATATTCCAACTGGGTCGTGCAGAAAAAACGTTTCAAAGCTGTTACGGCAAATACTAAACAAGAAACGATGCATTACACAAATCCGCAACACGGACTGCTTGTGTATGGCGCGAGCTATTGTGGTCGCTAAGGCGCATGCAGATGGCGATAAAACAATGTATACAAAGCTTTACCGAACGAAGAAGTTGCAGACCGAAAAGACCAAGGAGTTGCTGCAGGCTGCGGAATTGCCAGATAGAGAATTCAGTGTGGAGGATATTCCTCGATTTGAAATCGTTTTACCAAATTATCAATTTATTGTAGTCTCGGTGGACCATGGAAACTCAATTGTGTACTGCGGCGCGTACTGTGAAAAACGGATCATGCTGCTGCATCATGATCATCATTTTGACGTGCTAACATCCCTGCCCGCGTATTTTGAACAACAGTATTATTGCTACCGCTGTATGAAGGGCTACAACAAAAGGCAGAACCACAGATGTGAGTTCAAGTGTCATCAGTGTTTATCTGTAACCTGCCCTATGGAAAAGCTTCAGAACATCCACTGTCCTGACTGTAATCGCGATTTCCATGGGCAAGAGTGCTTTAACACGCATAAGTCCGGAAGCAGTCCAATCTGCGCAAAGTTCTTTATTTGTGAATTATGTAAGTCGTTTGTTTCCATGGTGAATCGTCGAATGAAGACCAATTACGACTTGCCACAAAATTATCCGCTTTATGATGACGGCGACAAGGATAGCGACAATGAAAACGATGATATTGAACTGGATATAGATGACCAACAACATCGGTGTGGTGAAGTCTTTTGCCCAACGTGCTCATTGTTCTTCATGCCCGAAGATAATCATGTCTGCTACATGCAACCCATTGAGCTCACAGACAAAGAAAAGGCTAAACACCTAAACGATAAACGAGCGTACTTTGATCTTGAAACGTTTCAAGATGAGGCAGGTGATTTCAAAGTGAATTTAGCGGTCATAGCAACAAAAGACGAGAAATTTGTCCTTCCGGAAGATGGAAATATTAGCGGTGATATTTCAAGTGCTTTGGGGGAATTCATCTTTAGCGAACGCTTTCGTGGGTACACCTTTATTGCACACAACTTGAAGGTAAACAATGTCAAAACTTCATAAGCAATCATTAGCTTTTGTTGACAAAAACTTACTTTTTAGGGATTTGACGGGTATTTTCTGCTAAACTATCTAATCAAGAACGGAATCATTCCACACCCATTGATCTTTAACGGGAGCAAGGTTGTGCAGATGGATATTTCAAAACTTAAAATAAAATTCCGTGACTCTATGAATTATGTGCCGTCATCGCTCAAAAATTTTGCCAAAGCATTCGGTTTGCAAGAAACCAAAGGAGACTTTCCTCACAAACTTAATCAGCCAGAAAATTGGAACAAAATTCTTCCATGGCCAGATCGACACGATTACGGTTACCAGCTCATGAAAAGAAAGAGCGTAAACGTTTTATAAAGTGGTTCCGTAAAGAGCGACGCCGTCACAACAATCAATTTGACTTTAATGCTCACTTTATTGGGTAGGTAAAATATGTCATTTACTCTGGCCGCCGTATTTATTTAGCTCTGTTATAGATATTGCTCGCAAGATGTTCTTGTTCTCCAACAAGCATGTGAGAAGTTTCGAACGCTCTTCCAACAAGTGACGAATGGATTGTGTCCATTTGCTTCAGGCCTTACCACCCCTGGAATGTGTAATTATTTTTGGAGAGCGCGGATGGTAAAGAAAAACCAAATTGCGCTGATTGGTCCCCTGGACAAGGTAAAAAATCTTCTGCCAAAGGAGATCGTTGGTCTGATGGATTGAAATGGACAACGATATACAACTCCAGCGCGAGGTTCGAATCGGCCCTTGGACAGTAGATGGTTTTGACCCAAGGAATAAAACCGTTTATGAGTTTCTAGGTAAATTAGATGAACAACGAATTTTAGCAAATACAGAAAGTTTTGATATAATTGTGTTTGTTCTTTTAAGGGTGTATGTGGAACGGTTGCAGCGACTGCACGACAAAAAGTACACTGCATCCATTTCTTAATCGCCCCATGGAAGAAATCAACAAAGCAACTGAATCACGCCTTGACGCAATAAAAGCTATGGGTTACGCTCTTGTTTCAATCTGGGAGCACGAATACGATGCGCGCCTAGCAGCAGACATGGAATTCAAACAAGTCATCGAGTTAGCAAACATTGAAGAGCCTATGCACCCACGAGATGCATTCACCGGGGGCCGAACAAACGCTATCAAACTGTACCACAAATGTGCGCGAGGCGAAAAAATCTATTCCCTCGACGTAATTAGTGAGTACCCCTACATCAATAAAAATCTGCCTTATCCAGTGGGAGCTCCTGTCATCATCACAAAGGACTTCCCGCCTGTGGAAAGCATATTCGGAGTGATGAAATGCCGTATCATTCCACCACCGTCATTATTTCTCCCTGTACTGCCGTACAGAACCGACATGCTTACATTTCCGTTATGTGCCAAATGCGTACAGGAGCGCGTGAACACACCGTGCTGCCATGAAGATGATGACAGGGCTTTGGAAGGAACGTGGTGTACACCAGAAATTCACCGCGCG